CACACACACACACACACACACACACACACACACACACACACACGCCCACACACCCACAAACACACATTCACACACACACACAAACACACTCACACAAACACACACACACACCCACACTCACACACACACAAACACACTCACACACGCCCACATAGTGAGTCATGTGACCTGAGGATAACCTAACCACAACCTATCAGTGAGGTTTAACAGTAAACTATATTAATAGAGTAAGGAAACGTGTGTTTGTACCTTTGGTCCACTGGGTCCGATGGATCCTGTCTGTCCAGTGTAACCCTGAGGACGACAAACAGGATCAAATATTTAATATCACTGACGCATCTCTGCAGTAAATCATTTCAAAGACGATGCAAAGATTACGTATACAGTAAATCCAGGAGTGCTGATTACGTAAAAACACGTGGGAAGACGTTCATTAAAAAGAGTAAATACATGATTGTTATGTTAAAGTTACTCTGGCTGAGTCGTCTGAAGAGGCTTCAGTCTGAGAGAACGAAACTCACTGAAGGAAGTCTGAGCAGTAACAGCCACATGCTCACTTCTACTCACTTCACCGTCACAGTGAAAGCTCTGTGCTCAGGAAGAACCACATCAAACACGCTCATAAATCCCGGCTTGGGAGTCTCCTGGTGGAATTTATGGAAGCGTGTGACGGGCCCTTATTTAGTTAAAATGACAATCAAGCAAAGAACAATTCAATTTCAGCAAACAAAGATCTACTCCGGTGTCTGAGAGGTTAATATTGTGCACTTATGTGGATTATAGAAAACACATATATTATTCTGTGCCTGATAATAATTTATCTGGCATAAAGAATAACTTAGGCACCTGCAAAGACATTTACTGAAAGGGATTCTGAGCTCAAAGTTTTTCTATTTGCATTGCCAGTAATGCTAATTATCCAGGTTTTTAGATATTCTTTTAGCTCTAAATAGAAACAACTTGTGGTGAAAAGGTAACAAAGAAGGTCGAGCATCTTTCTCACAGTGTATCCGTTGTCGCCGACGTCACCGGGAAAACCAGGAGCTCCGATCTGACCCTGTGAGAGGAGACGTGACGGTTAAAGAGACGCAGAGTTAGTGATGAACTCCGTCTCCCTCTGATGTGAGCAGAGGGAACTACAATATGTTCACAGTCACAAAGCAGGAGAGATCAGTGAGGGGACTAATGTATCAAAATCAATAGTTTGGTGTTAATCAATAGGCAGAATGTTGACCCAGTGACACCCTTTGAATGACTTCGATTGGGAAGAAATGCATAAAGAAAATAATACAGGAATAGATACATTTTAGGGAAAATAAATACATAAATTAAAAAATTAATAAATACAAAAATGAATACAAAAATAAATAACATTTACGTAAGAGAGTAAATAAATAGGGGAAATTATACAAAATTAGATAAATAAAGAAGCAAATTAAACGTAAATATCAGTTTTTGACAAATTTGATCAATTGATAAATTTATTTTTAATTTTATTTTTGGTGTATTAAAAAGCATATTAAGTCATTGAGTGATTTATTTTTTATATTATTATTCAGACAGCTTTATTCAGGTGAAGTACTTCTTCTTCTTCTCTGTTTCCGTACCTTCAGTCCGTCTCGTCCCTGAGGACCCTCTCTGCCTTTGTCCCCCAGAGACCCCTGAACAGAAAACACGGAGACAACAACGGTAAAGGAAAGGTTCATAACAAATGATACAAAATAATCTAAAACATGGATAGAAAACACAATTTGTTTAATGGAAAAGCAGACGCGTATAAGGATTCTAAACAACTTGATTTTACATTTTAGAAACAGGATGAAAAAAATCAAACCCCACCGACAGATAAAAGTGGAAATTACATTTTCATATTTAACTCAATAAATTCAGTAATACAAAATGTTTTGCCTTTACTTTACTTCTAGATTATGATGCCAAATTTAAGGTGTAAATGTTCAGAAAATAAACAGCAAAATATTGTTCAACTAAAAGATATTACATGAAAAACAAGTGACAGTAATACATTTAGTCTTCAGTATATATATTAAATACATTTCAACCTCTTATAAAATAAAACCTAAACACCTTTCACACTTTTAAGAACAATACAATCCTTTCTAATCACACATGTTAATTACCTTTAGCCTGTTTAAAGACATTAAATGAAGCGTAAACGTGGGTGTTTCAGACTTTTCTTTACCTTGATACCTGTACCTCCGTTTGGTCCCGGAGGCCCAGCGCCACCACGAGGGCCCTGAAATACAACAAATAAATTAGATTAAGTAAATAATAAATGCTTTATTTTAACTAACATAAATATAGTTTACAGTTTTATGTTGTATTTGTTCTTTGCTCGCTATGTGAAGCACTTTGTATCTTTGTTTTGGTAAGTGCTATATAATTAAATGTATTGTTACTATTATTATTATTATTTAATGTAAAATATCATCTTCTAAACATTGAGTTAATGAATAACACTTAAAACTCTTTCACTTTACTTTCATTTCTATATCACATGCATTGTTTAATTGATACATTTAATTAATTTTCATTTTTTTATTTAAAATGATGAATAAAGACTCAAAATATATATATAATATTGAATCAAATGAGATTTCTTCTTTATTCTACTCTGTCTCACGACATGCTTGTGTGTTGAGGACTACAGGACGTAAGAGGTCAAGGGTCGTGTCCTTACAGTCTCACCAGGACCTCCGACTCCTCCGCGGGGTCCCTCCAAACCGAAGTCCCCCTGTGGACACAAAACAAGTCACACGTGGATAAAACATTCTCATTATTACATCAATCGCTGACTGTTTATAAAATGTAATTCATAACCAGAGCATTTAAAAACAACGTGTTGAACTGTGATCTTGTGTAGACATTCGCGTTGCTGATTTTTGAATATTTCACGAATAAGTTTTACTTATGTAACTACGAAGAACTTGCTTTTTCATACGTCTAAAAGAGGAGGACAGCCGAAACATCGACACCTTTCAGGATTTATTATCCAGACAGAACAGAAGTCACGGCTAATATCTATATCATAGTAACCCTGCAATCATTTTAAAGTTAAACCTTCTCAGTCGGTGCGTGAGTGCGTGTGCATGTGTGTGTGAGTGTGTGTTTGTTTACCTTCAGTCCCAGCTCTCCCTGCTCACCTCGGGCTCCTATAAGTCCAGGTTCTCCCTGTTAACGACAAAAAAGTAGATTAGATTACTTAAGTTTAAAACTGGTTCTCTTACAACTGCTTTATTAACATCTTGTATTATGAGAAGAAGAAGAAGAAGAAGAAGAAGAAGAAGAAGAAGAAGAAGAAGAAGAAGAAGAAGAAGAAGAAGAAGAAGAAGAAGAAAAGGAAGAAGAAGAAGAAGAAGAAGAAGAAGAAAAGGAAGAAGAAGAAGAAGAAGAAGAAGAAGAAGAAGAAGAAGAAGAAGAAGAAGAAGAAAAGGAAGAAGAAGAAGGAGAAAAGGAAGAAGAATAGTAGTTTTTAAATTGTCACATTAAAAGCAGTAAAACTCTTGGTGTGACCTGACGTTGAAGAAGTATTCAGATCCTTTATTTAAATTAAAGTAGAAACACTACATTCCAAAAATACTTCACAAGTAAAAAGTACTGAATTCAAAATGATATTCAAGCGTTCACAAGTATTATCAGCATGATGTACTTAAAGTGAAAGTGTCACGATGTCAGATTGATTTATTAATATAGAATAATATATTATTCACTTTGTATCACTAACTAGTACATGTAAGAGGATTCTACTGTTGTACTTTGTCAACGTGCAGCCAATGTTAGATACTTCTTGTACTACTGGGTAGATTAGTAGTATTGTACTAGTACTACTGGGTAGATTAGTAGTATTGTACTAGTACTACTGGGTAGATTAGTAGTATTGTACTACATCTTATCATAAAAGCATATCAGGTTTTTTAAAGGTAAAAAGTAACTATGAGTGTCAAATAAACGTTTTGGAGTAGAAATATAAAGCAGCATACAATGGAAATACTCAAGTAAAGTACAACATAGTACTTCAGCAGAGTATTTGAGGACTCGTTCTACTGTGTGTGATTTTGAGGTTTCCACTCAGCAGGTCTTTTATTATTTATTGAGAATCATCTGTGAAGAGTCTTTTTTAAAGTCACCATGGCTCCAGAGAAACCAGACGCTCCGTCATCTCCTTCAGGTCCAGCGTCGCCCTGCAGGACCAGAGGTCAAAGGTCAAAACTAACACAACGGACAAACACCGCAACTGACAACAGGAAGTGCTTTGTTCGTTTTGAGAACTGCATATTGTATCAATCAGAGACACAGTGAGTCATTTCTTCAAACTTTAAAGACTTAATTCAAACATAAATATATATACATATATTAAAAATTCAATGCATCCAAATTACTCCAACTATATTCACAGTCTGTATAAAAACAATAAATGTATTTCACGTTAGGCTTTTCATTAAAGTGTTGTTTCTGTTTCGTTTGATTTAAAAATAACTGTTTTTGTCTTTAACCTCATTTCTATTGTTTTACTTGTTTTTCTTTTTCTTTAAATCAAAGTATTGTTTGTGTCATTTTAGTGAATGAGTCTGTTTTTAAATATAGTTTTCATCTCAACTTAACCTGAGACAGTGTTGTGGCCTCTGACGGTGTATGAAATGAGTTTTTACTTTTCTTTCATGTTTGGCTCTCACATCCTGTTTTAAGTGTTTCTGCAGCTTTTGTTTCACTTTCTCTTTCCTTCACTTTGTTCCTCCATGTTTTCCTTTACTTTCAGTTTGTGTTTACTGAAACAACGAGTCAGTGCAGGTGTATTTATATATATATGTTAGCTAATCATACATCAGTGTTGTAGTGACGTGATTTACTGACCACTGGTCCGGTGTCTCCTCCTCTCCCCCGGACCCCTTTGGTTCCTTTATAACCCTAAAAACAAACATGTAAACACAAACAAACCTTGGACACACATCTGTAACATAATTCTCATTCGTGATTCCTCATCATTAAAATAAAAATGCAGTAATACTGTTTTGGTCTCTCACCTCTCTGCCTTGAGTTCCTGGCTCTGCAGTTTTACCGTGCAGCCCTCTGGATCCCTGAAGGGAACAGAAAAAGAATCAATAACGCATTCAGATCAAGAAAAAGATCGAATTTCTTGTGTGCACATGCAGATAAACTATTACTGAACGCACTTTAGACTGAAAGTTGCATCAAAGATTCTCAGATACAAGACAAAACGACGACACCACATACAGGCCCGTCTGTAAAGATGGGTTTTAAGAAGATCGTTCCAAAGCCGAGGGGCCCTGATGTCACCTTTAGTGAATGTGTGTTTGATGAATGCAGCGAGTGATGAGATCTGTTCAGCGGGACAAACCGCCCTGTTTGCTGAGAATAAAGTGACCACGATGCGATGAAGTGAGTCGGTACCTTTGGTCCCGCGAAGCCAGCGAATCCAGGCTGTCCGGGTTCACAGTCGCACGCGGTCGGCCCCTCCTCTCCGAGGTCTGCGTCGCCCCCAGACTCCTCCGAGGTGTCGGTGTCCGGTCCTGCTGGAGGATACTCGTACGGGACCTGAAACACAAGAATATTACAACACGGGGAGAGTGAAAATACGCACTAAAGTGGTGCACTACAGATCCTCTATGAACCAGTCTCAGTGTAGTCCTGATCCTCAATCTGAACCAGTCTCAGTGTAGTCCTGATCCTCTATCAGTCCTCCATCAGTAAAGAGACCATCAGAGAGAAGATGGTCTGTTTCTATAGAGTTATTCTTAATGCTCGTCATCGGAGCCACCGGGTCGGATTCTGGTGAAACCAGATGAACTCATGCAGGTTCACCAGAACCTCCTTCAGCTCAGACTCCAGCAGAGACCGGTCCACCGTGGACAGACCCAGATCCAGAGCTCCGGAGGGAGGAGGAGAGCTCAGCTCCCGGCAGCAGCAGCAGCGTCTCCTTCTCCTCCTCCTCCTCCTCCTCCTCCAGGAGCAGAGCTTCTCCTCTCTGCTGGAGACCCAGGATGTATTACTAGACCCGCTGGAGGGAAGGGAGGCACGGGAGAACCAGAACCAGGACTGAGAGGGGCAGACTGTCAGACCCTGCTGCAGTAACATGAGAGGTTTTCTAAAGGGGGTCTGGTGCTCAGGAACACAACCACTTTAGTCCACAGGGACTTTGACTGTTATTTTTTAGGTGTGTTTGACATTTATTTTCCAGAGCACATTTAGTTGATAATCCTGCTTTATTGTGATGATGGAACAGAAACTTTGAATAATGTACTTGCGGCAGTTTGGTAAGCTCCAGAACAGCCGCTAAATGGACCTTTGTGGCCAAATGTGAGCCGCTCTGACGGCAGTAAAGACCTCCGGCCCTCAGCGGTCGTCATACCTGCATGGTCTCCGTGTCCTCCTTGGCGTAGTGGGACTCGGCGGTGGTGGCGTAGGGGAAGGCGTCCTCGGTGATCATGGTGACCTGGGTGGGTTCAGGACCATAGGGGTCCTCGGGCCTCTGGTCCTCGTCGTAGCTGTGAGTCGGGTCAGGCGGATACTCTGAGGGAACAGAGGAGACGAGATTGGACAACACTGAGACTTTTAGTCCTGAGAATTCATGTTTTGAGGTGTGGTTGTGTGAGGTACACAGTCAGTGTATTACTAACGCTATATTCTTTTTTATTTTCACTGCTTTACCTTGTTGTCAGACAGCCCTTTCTCTGCAAATAACAGAAAACAAACTAACAGATGGAGGCAGCAGTAGACCAGCAACCCTCCTGTGTTCTGTGAGGTCAACTTGATGCTTTTATCAATGGAGTCTGGTGTCTTTGAAGAGAGCGTAGATTACGGCATCAGCTCCCCGTCACAAAGGTCTGTCTGACAGCAAGGTGCAGAGTGTGTGCTGCTGCTGTTCAGGTATACTATCATCAGGTAGGAGTGAACAGGAGTGAACCAGGTGAACACTGTGCTCACCTGGTTGAGGAGAGGCTAAGCCGTCGTGGCGGTTGACCACGGAGCCTTCATAGGTGTGTTCCTCACCTGGACACACACACGTTAAACACACACATCAGAGCTGATCCTACTCACAGTCTACATGTGGGTGGCTCGTTGGTCTAGGGGTATGATTCTCACTTCGGGTGTGAGAGGTCCCGGGTTCAAATCCCGGACGAGCCCTAACTGTGGGACAAAGACATCTTGCAGATAGATAAAACTTAAGCTGAATTATTGACATTAAAAATCACAAAAGAGGAGAAATAAAGCACAAACCCAATTGTGTGTCAATCAACCAGCAGCTCTTAATAATAAGTGATTTTTGTGTTGGACTGATTAGAATGTGATTCAGCTTTTTCATACATAATTTCCAGAAATATACACATTTCCTGGTTTCAGCAGTAAAAATACATTCAGATAGTTACGGAAAAAATCATCTTTAAATTCAGATAAATTCTGAGGAATATATTCTATAATTTCTAGACCAAACAATCCATCCTAATCACAAACATATTGTTTACTCAGCTGTCTTCTAATATTCAATATACTTGATTCCTACGAATAGAACATCATTTCATAATTAACAAAAAGCAAACTAATCTAGTTTTATTGGTTTCTAGTTTAGTTTTGCTTTTATGAAAGCAGGAATCAGAGCTTCAAGAATTAAACGATTAGTTATCAACTAATAAACGAATCGGCCAACTGTTATGACAATTGACGAATCAGTTTGAGTGATTTTATTTGAAGAAAGAAAAGTTAAAACTCTCTGATTCCAGCTTCTGAAATGTGAATTTGTTCTGGTTTCTTTTCTCGTCTGTGACAGTAAACTGAATATCAGACATTAGAGGACGTCATCTTGGGCTTCAGGAAACACTGACTGACATTATTCACCATCTTATAGACCCAACAGCTAATCAACAGATCAAATGCTGATAAAAACACATAGTCGCAGCCCTTCTGGAGTAAAAGTGACTTCATGAGCATCTGACCTGAGTGGTATCCAGAATATTCCTCCTGGCAGAGAGACGAGACGACACACAGCGAGAACACAAGCAGACCTGACAGGAGAGACGGCTGCAGGGAGAAAACAACAACAAGTTATTTAATATCATCTAACGCTTATTAATATATCATCTGTATGAAGACCAGAACAGACCACATGAGTCCGGTCCACCTCACAGCAAGACATTTCTGGATATCTGGCTGGTTTTTGGTGCAGAGCTGTGAAAATTGAGACTCACCTGAAGATCACAACAATTTAAATGTATTGATGAAAACATTAAGGGATGAACCGATAAAGCACCTTTTCAGTCCCGATACGATACCGGGGCTTTGGGTCCAGATCCCATAACGATAACAATCGTTTTATTTATACGTACAAAGTGCTTTCCAGATTAAAAGTACGACACACAAACTGAGAGCATCAAGCAGCACTGAGCCCCAAAAAGAAACAGAAGGTGGAGCGAGTGCATATATATATATATATATATATATATATATATATATATATGTTCATATAAGTATGTAAGAACGTGTGATAAGGAAAATACGCTCGTATAAAACAGGTGAAGTTCAAGAAAAGGAAATGACCACAAATATACAAACAAATAAGATGCAAACATCAGGAGTGATCTCATATAAAACAGAATGACAAGAAAAGAACAAATTCTTCAATTCAAAGCAAACTGAACGGCTGATTCATGCGTTAAAATAGAAACTAAAAAACAGAAAAAAGACAGTTGAGTGGGAACAATTGAGCCTTCATAGGTGAGTTGGTCACCTGGACAGACACACATTGAACACAGCATGTCACACCTCACTCTACATCAAGGGTTACGTGAAAGTGGCTCATAGGTAACGATTCTCTCTTTGAGAGTGAGAGGTCGGCAGTTCAAATCCCAGAGCAGCCCTGACTTTGAGACAAGAAAGCTCACAGACTGTTATTACTTATAAGATGGAGAGAAACGGTCCCGTTTAACCAGCTTCTAGATTATAGAAAGGAAAAGCACAATTGTCAATAAAGCCTGTAATGCAATAATTATACATTAATTTACTAGAAGGCAACACTTTGTTGTGCTACAGGAGGATTATAGAAGGTCAGACACATTGATGCTGATGAAGACGAGGGTTGTATTATTATAACTTCATTAAGTGTCAACATTAGAACATAATACCAGGAGGAAATGGAAGTACACGTGCACTTCACAAAATATATATAAATGAATTCCTTGAACTGGTGATAGAAATGATAAACAAATAAATAAAGCGATAAAGCTGTTCTTGGATTGTACATTGTTGTTATTGTATTTTATATCTAAGCCTCGGACCTGCAGTCGGCGCTCCGGAGGGAGGAGGAGAGCTCAGCTCCCGGCAGCAGCGTCTCCTCCCCCTCCTCCTCCTCCTCCAGGAGCAGAGCTTCTCCTCTCTGGGAGCCAACACCGACACCACGCTGCTGGAGACCCAGGACGTATTGCTGGACCCGCTGGAGGGAAGGGAGGCACGGGAGAACCAGAACCAGGACTGAGAGGGGCCGACTGTCAGACCCCGCTGCAGTATAATGAGAGGTTTTCTAAAGGGACTCTGGTGCTCAGAGACACTACCACTTTAGTCCACAGGGGGCGACAGAATCACCACTAAATCTAAGTTCCTCGTAGTGACTTTAAATTATCCTTCAAGTTAAAAGCAGAGAGTCAGTCGTGGACAGTTGACAGTCATGGTTGGCAATATTTTATATTTTTCTTTTTGTCAACAAATATCATAAAAAGACCAATGCTGACACTTCCTTTTCTTTTTTAGAAAAGGGAAAATTTACTTTAGTAAAAAAGCAGCAAAGAGCAGATGCAAAAAGTGTTTTTGTTAAACTAAACGATAAACACAAATAAACCGGGTTTCACTCGTGAAGCATTAATCAAATGAAAAATTCAATATGAACCTTTTCGCCACATATCCATGAGGTATAAGAAGTTTTATCCCAACACGTTTGCAGCACGATGTTGTAAATAAACAGCAACTAGTCAGGTTAGTTTGGGAATGAAGCCATGATCCTGACCTGCAGGACCTCCGGGGCAGTGAGGTGAGACACGTCCTTCACGCTCCTGTTCTCACGGATCTTTGTTTTAGAGAAAGCTGACGGCACCTCTCATTGTCATTTGAAGGTGTGTCTCTTTATTTATTTTCATAGATACTTTACCTAAATAAATAGAATACTCAGTTGAGTCCCTGTGGTCTGGCCCTTGTCCTGTAAGAGATGAGGCTTTGGTATGATGAGTCTTTCATTATCAGCCAGAACAACTCCTAAACAAACTTCACTGTTTACTGTCAAACTTCTCTACGCCCGCCTGAAGCTGAGTAAATTATAATAATTATAATATATAATTATCTATTGTATTGAAGAAGTTATATTGAAATAGTATTTTAGGACCGAACATCAAGACATTCAAACAAAGTTTCTGGTGAAGTAACATCAGCGGGTTTAGCTTAATTCTCTCTGCAGGTCAGTTCAGGTTAAAATGAGTTTGATCTTAAAAAGGTCTCAACACACACATCAGTGTCAGGGAAGTTTAAAGTATAGAGTTTATTAGTAAGAATTTCCAGGCTCTGAAACGTCGCTGCTAAAGTCACAAACGACATGTAACAATAATAATAATGAAGTCCAGACATTAAGGGCCGGACTATAAGACTGTAAACAAACCACAACTGATATTTTTCTCTCTCTCCATCACTCATACTAAATAATTAACGTCATTTAAATTTGATCCCAGTCGATTCAACTAGACTTCGACCCCCCCGGTCCCATCAGGGGACCACAAGCGACACCAAACCTGCAGCCCCCCCCACCACCACCAACCAAACCCAGACCGTTCTCCTCTTACCTTGTCACTGGAGGCTCCCATGGTGCTGCAGACTCCCCTCAGACCAGACCAGACCACAGCCAGACCAGGTCCTGCACAGGACGCTTTCAGTATACAGACGAGGACAAACAAAACGACCTGATTCAGCTTTTCCCTGAGCAGCTCTCCTCACAGCATGATCCCCCTGTGTCCTCTCTCTGTGTCCTCTCTCTGTCTCTCCAGGATCCCTCAGGTTCCCAGGCACTGACGGGATGATCTCTCTCTCTGTCTCTCTCGCTCGTTCTTCTCGTCCTCTATCTCAGCGTCTCAACAGGGTGAGAAATACCTGAGCCAGAGTCCAGCATCAGCAGAGAAGACTGAGAGAAAAGAGAGACGGTGGATCTGTGAAGAAAAGTCTTTAACTTTAAGCCAACGTTTTTCTTTTCACATGTGGATCATTTTAATATCTGAAATATCCACCAAGAAAAGATTCCTTTTGCTTAGAGCCCAATTTTCTACCACCAACAAAACATTAAACATAACATTCACGCCACGAAGACAACTTGAAATATGTCAATATGTTTTACAAAAGGCTGCAAGTACTTCACCTGTGTTATATAACAGAAGAACTAAATCATAAATCATAAAACTATAAAAAGGTTTTGTTTTATGAAAAATCTAAAACATTCTACAACACAGCACACTGAAAAACTGTTTTTAAGAGACAGAGAAATATATTATTAAAATAATAATGTTAGTTTGATGTATAGCTGAATGAACTGCATTCTAACATAAACTGAGTTCAAGGAATCATATCTTTCCTTTCACAAACATTTTTATTAATGAGAACACATCATGTCTTATATTTTTGTATTCTATTTTTTGTATTAATTTGGTGGATTTTATGTCCGTTTTAACTTTCGTCAGATGTTGTTTCACTGCAGTCCTGAAATGTTTCTTTATTTCTGTATCAACCACGTGAAGAACTTTGTTTTGAAAAGGTGCCGTGTAAATAAAATGTATATATTATATTATTTTTATTATCATTACTACATGAAGTTAGTATGATTATATGTATTATTAAAATGATGACCTGCACATTTTAAGCATCTATTGATTTAATGGATTTCAGAATAAAACATTGCCAGTCACAAGACTTCAGAAACCAAAATTTCAAATTAAAAGACTTTCTCAACGACTGCAGAAACCTTGTGTAAACACTTGAAGACGCACTTTAATTCAGTTTAAGCCTAAAACAAGAGTGACCTTTGACCCCGTGGTGAAAGTGTGCCAGCTATGACACTCCTGTCCAACATTCCATGTCGTCTGTAGTTGAAAACCACTCACAGCCAATCAGGCAGAGGCAGGGGCGGGGCCTGTTCAAAATTGGCAAACATGTCATTTAAATTACAACAAAAAAAAGTTCAAAATGTATGTTGTTGGTTCCCAAAACTTTATTTCTTTCCAAAATGCCCTCATTTATGAAGTTGAAACTTTTTGACGTGTGACCTCATCACTTCTCCTTCTCCCTTTCCTCTCTCTTCTTCTTCTTCTTCTTCTTCCGGTCGTGGTGGTGGTGGTGTTCGTCCGGGGAGCAGGAATCCCTGTGAGGTGAGAAGACATTGAGCCACTTTAAAAACTTACTTTTATTAAAGTTGACCGATGACAAACAAATTAGTTGTATTCAGGCGGCAACCTCCGGTTCTGCCGAGAGAAGCCGATGCTTCATGTGTTAAAGCTGCATGCTCTCTACTGACCACCAGGGGGCGCCTCCTCTGGTTGTGTAGAAGTCTATGAGAAAATGACTCTACTTCTCTCTTGATTTATTACCTCAGTAAACATTGTAAACATGAGTTTATGGTCTCAATCTCTAGTTTCAAGTCTTCTTCAATACAGCATGATGTTCACTTAGTACATTATGGTCCATTTAGAGTCAAACAGACCATAAAGCAGGGGATGCTTTAGGGCGGGGCTACACGGTGATTGACAGGTCTTTACCAGAGACGTATACGGTGTCTCCTCAGTCCAGATATGGTCACTTCCTGTTTACTGGTTTAAAAAACAACAACAACATGGTGATGGCCGTAATCCAAGATGGCGACGGTGAAATCGCCGAACTCGAGGCTTCATAACATCAGTCTACAAACCAATTGGTGACGTCACGATGACTACGTCCACCAGCACTGAAGCACAAACATAACTTCTCACCTCTCTCTCTTCTTCCTCTTCTTCTTGCTTTCTCTGTCTGGGCTTCGTTCTCGGCTGCGACGGCGTCGGCTGTGACGAGAGTCTGACGACGCCGAACGCTTTTCATCCAGCTGGCGCCTGACGGACAAATAATATATAAACGTTTTAATTTCCTGAATAAACAACATTACAGGAAACTGATCACCGGGAGGTCGGGGTCGTACCTGTGGGACGAGAGTTCAGACCTGGTCGACTCCTCCTCGTCCTCTTCCTCTCTCCACTGTCTGGTGAGCTCTCCCGAGTGGACGTTGATCACCTCTCGGATCACCTGCAGGGTAAGCAATCAAATGGTTTCCATTGTTTAAGTTTATACAGTTTAATATTAATAAGATTATTTTTGATACTTCTTTCTTTCTAAACTCTACATTTGTTTGAAAGCCCACATCTCATTTAATAAGTTATTTTTGCTTCTTTCTGATTCATTTCGCCTCACATTATTGACGTTATTGGAGCCGACAACGTGAGGTTTAGTTTCACTTTATTGCTCCTGTTCTTTTTGGGCCATTCACCTCCTAACTTTGCTCATTGCTGTGTGTAAATGCTTAAAGGTGAGCGTGTTGATATTATAACTGTAAACCAGATGTTAATGTTATTATTTGGTAACTCCTCCATCTCATACGCCTTGTTTCATATGCCAACAGTAAATTGGTTGTTGATACATTAGATTTGTATTTACAGTCCAGATCTGGAGCAGATACTTGTTTTGTTATTACATTTTAATGTACTTTGTATCATTGCTGCAGACCACAGAAGGTCACATGAGCATGGTCACAGTGTTTTTGATCACTGTCCTGGTGCTGGCTCGTACCTCGGTGTAGGACTTCTTGGTGATGTGAACGTTCTTGGCTCGGTAAGACTGACGCCGCCTCTTGTAGTCCCTCATCTCTGCCATCAGCTCCAGGTGAGTCTTCGGTTCGTTCTGCTCTTCATCTAAAGACAAAAACACAAACGCCCATTAATGCCATCTTCCTCAAACAGTTTCTGTTTGGCCGTTTGTTTTCTCCCTCAGCGTGGTCCTCGGGTTTAATATAATTGTTCCTCTACATAAATATCTGTTATCCATGTAACAGTTGGAGGAGATCGGACACAGTATTTGAATCATTCTGACGTTTGGAAGTCTTCACCACGATGTCTTACCCCTCTGGAGTTTGGACACCAGGTCCACGTACAGATCCTCGTTGCTGGAGGACGCCGCTTCCTTCCGTTGGCTGACCACGTGATCGAACAGAGCCAATCGGTCGGCCACAGTGAGGTCACACACGGCGCGCTTGTGGTTCTGAGGCACGTCGACAGGCTGGCCGGAGTACTGACCTGGTGGGGGACCAGAGAGACGTTACCCACAATTCACTCTGACGCATTGCTCGTTCAAAAACAATTATTCCATGTGTTGATGTGGTAAAACAAAACGTTTAAGTCCGACTGTTATTGTTTTTGTATTGAAGAGAGAATTTTCTCTCCATAAGGCCCAGAAGCACTGGAAGCATGTGACGCATGTTTTGAAGTAAATCTTTTGTTTAAAAAGGACGAACACGAACAAACAACGTAACAAGGCCGGTAAACTACTTTGACGCTTCTACAAACAGAGATGTTTTTTCTGCAGCCATATTACATGTTTAGTGAAAGCTAAAAGAAATAAAAAGCGATGGAATTTTCCCCAAAGGCAATGTTTTATTAACTAAATAAATAACTATTCAATAAAAAAAACACTACTATTGTCACTGTCGGTGGTTAAAAGGACAAACTTCCCCGGCGGTAGGTCACATCAGCCGTCACTCATAAACTTAAACTCAGTCTGTAACTTGAGGGCAGATCAAAATAAAACGTTGTTGTTGTCGGTTTGTGTCAAAGATTGTTTATGAGCTACGAGGCACTTCACTCTGTAACACCATTGTACAACAGAGAGTGTTTTTGTAGTCCCAAAAACTCCCAACAGAGCGATACATCTTTTTTTTAATGTAGTGGATAGTGTGACGCTACTTTCACATCACAGTTAAACTTTCATCTTTATCATATCAATATTTTTTAGTCTTATCCACTTTATAGTTTTGAACCAGGACAGTCATTATTTAGATCAAGTGAAAGATTAAAGAGTTTCTGTAATAAACATGTTGTCTAGTCTGAATGTGTGAAAACGTTTCCCAACAGGTAAAGGGAAAAGAGTTTGTCCCAGCCGCTTAAAGGATATGATGATAAAGGATACTACACGTAACACAGCTCCTCTCTAATACTCACCCCTGTCACTGCAAACAGAACACACAACACAAAGATTACACACATGTCGGCAGAAAAATTACATTAAATAAAAAAGGTGACAATCCCGAATTAAGAAAACACAGCTTCTTATTCCATGTGGTTAAATTCTTGGGGGGGGGGGGGGGGGGG